ACTCACTTTGCTGAAGTTAGATCAGTTTTGTCGAACGTAGACAAGGTAGTTTTCTTTGTTGAATATCCTAAAGTTTTTCTTATGTTGTAGACCTGTAGTAATATTTTCTATTATAACAGATAATTATCAAGGACAATTGTCAGCTCTTCCTGATACGAGTTTTGGAAATATCCAACAAGGAGAAACAAGTGAAATAACTACAGATATTTCTTTTACATACGGTCTTCACCGCAATGATGTCCCGACTTGGGAAAAAATTGTTGAAAGCAGTAATTCCGGTTTTGAATCTGTGAATTTTCAGTCTTCACTTGCTTCAACCCAGTCAAGTGCAGTTAGCATAATGCCTGGCCAAGACAATCAACTCTTCGATCAAGCTTTTACTGGTGTGTTTGGGAAAAGGCAAGAGCTTGGGAGCCATTCTGGTGGCATTGAAGCGTGGCAGGTATTCGATGTTTAAGATATTATTTTGTGCATTATTTTATTTTTTTCACTCCCAGCAGCTATAGACTACCATAAAAATCTAGTGAAGTCAGACAACACCGTTTCTACTATGCAATGAAATATAATTTCAGGATATGGACAATTGATTTCATCTAAACACCTCTATTAGGCATTTCCGCTGGAACCTTTAAAAACAATGATTGTTCTCACAAATATGTGGTGCACAGCCTGATTTTGACCTTTATATATGAATACTGTAAATAATGAGTTCAAATAATAATAGTATTATTTACAGTGTCTATTAGCAGCTCAGAGTTTAAATAATGAGTTTTCTTATGGTGTGTGGTTTGTTCATCAAATCACTTGTCTGGGACAAGTTTGCATCTCCAACCCTTACAACTTTAATTTTGAAATTTTAATAGGCTTCAGAGAGTGATTCTTCGCAGATGTCAAAGTGGTCTACGGATCAGAAGTTGGATGGTAACCTGAATTTAGGGCAGAACACATATTATTCATCAGTGGGTCAGCCTCTGTTGAATGATCGTAGAACCAAACCAAATGATGCTAATCAAGTGGAAATTTCCGATTCATTGGGACTTCCAGATATACATCTAACAGAACAAAATGGAAATACGGTTGAAAGTTCTCTTAGATCAGATTGCAGCCAAAACCTGAATCTAGATAATAAAACCAATTATTCTGCTTTAAGACAGCCTTTATTGGACGGTGTTATGCGAGAAGGTCTCAGAAAACTAGACAGCTTTGACCGTTGGATGAGTAAAGAACTTGGTGATGTGGCCGAGTCAACAATGCATCCTGGTTCTGGGGTATACTGGGAGACTGTTGGAAGTGAAGATGGAGATGAATCTGGCATTTCTACTCAGGCCTTAGATAACTACGTCCTTGGTCCTTCTCTCTCTCAAGACCAGCTCTTTAGCATTATTGACTTCTCTCCAAATTGGGCATTTTCTGGGACAGAAATTAAGGTATGTTATTTGATTCTTCGTTAAAGTTATAAATTGGCTGCTTGCATTAGTTCAAGTTAAAAATCTACCCAGTTAATTTTGGATTATAAATACTCTTTTAGAGCATTGATTGACTTCAGGTATATCCCCTATTGTGGGTGTAATTTGTGAATGAAAGCTAATATCAAGGGTCATTTGAAAGTAAAAAAAGATACCTCTTTTACCACATTGTTTTTTATATACTGAATCTCAAGGGTATTTTGTGACGAAACCCTTTTATATACTTGAAGGTTGAATACTAGGCTAGGTTTGATTTCTTTTTTCTTTTCCTGTAACAATTATTATTTTAATTATTATTTTAAATATTAATTATTGGTTATACTTGGGGCTGCTCCCTTGTCATTTCTGGTGTGAGGGGCATGACACCGTATCACTTATTTTTAGGAACCTATAAATAAACATTTGTGCTGTTTCTAGATAGGACCCTATTAGGACGTCATATATACTATATATTTGTAAGTGTGAGAGAAGCTTTTTTTCTTTTTTGGGTTTTGGAATTGCTCTGTTCAGGGTTTTCAGTTTCGAAATTCTGCTCTATTATGATTCAGAAGTATCCAACTGGTTCTCATTTTAACAAACTAAATCTGATTTTTTTTTTTTCTTCGCAACTCATGATCAGGTGCTTATTTCGGGAAGATTCTTGAGGAGTTATGATCAGGTGGAGAAGTATGGATGGGCATGCATGTTTGGCGAAATAGAAGTTCCTGCACAAATTGTAGGAGATGGAGTTCTCAGATGCCTTACACCTGCACATGAGACGGGAAGGGTTCCATTCTATATCACATGTTCTAATAGATTAGCATGCAGTGAAGTACGAGAATTCGAGTTTCTCGGTTCTGTTCAGGATGTGGATCTTGGGGATACTTCCGATGAAACCCTTCTTCACATGAGATTCGTAAAACTGCTGTCTCTTGGATCAAGCACTTCTGAAGCCTCTGTCCAAGCTATTTCACCCAGGACCTCGGAATTATGCCTCAAAATCAGTGCTCTTTTGAGAGATGATACTGAGTGGGAACAGATGTTGAACATCACTAAGCAGGATGAGTTTTCAGCGGATAAGGTGAAGGATCAGCTGCTACAGAAGCTTCTGAAGGAGAAGTTGCATGATTGGCTTCTGCAAAAGGTTGGTGAAGGTGATAAGGGTCCCGGTGTTCTAGATGAGGGTGGTCAAGGTGTGCTGCATTTTGCTGCCGCTCTAGGTTATGACTGGGCTATACCACCCACCATAGCTGCAGGTGTCAGTGTCAATTTCAGGGATGTGAGTGGATGGACTGCACTTCACTGGGCCGCATTTTATGGCAGGTAGAAGTATTTTATTTTTTAATTTTGAAATAATTTAGGTTTCTGGTCTGATTACAGCAAACTTCCAAGGTCTTACATTTATAAAACACCAATCAGAGTTTTGATCCATTTTACATCTCTCACCTTATAAGCAAGAAGATTGCAGGAACCAATGAAATTCCTAATGTACAAGAACGCCTCTTAAATTTCAGACCCCTAAATTCAGGAGTATA